TTGCCACATGAACATACTGTAATATGGACCCACTCTTAGAGAGAGAGAGATTAGAATACATTCGATTACTATACTAATTACTGCCTTTTTTAAATTGTAGATACTACTCATACTATATGGGAGACAGCATATTTAAAAAAGGGGCAACCCAGCTCGGATATCTTTTGTATTTTTCTGCATTATTTCTTTGCATTATTCCAGTTCCCTGTCCATTACTCTGTGGACAGGTAACTGTTCTTCTAATGAAGTGTCTCGTAAATGTTTTACTAATGTAAAGAGACTACATTAGAAAAAAGAGGTTTTGTCTGAATTCAGATATGGAGGTAGAGAGGTTAGAATAATAAACAAAAATACAATGAACCCAATACATATAACAAACTGTATGAACAGTAACAGCAACAAGATCTCTAAAGTAACCAGTACAAAATACAAAGTACCAGAATGACAACCGAACCTATAGGAAATCAAAAAATTTATATAATATAAATAAAATATAAAATATGATATAAAGAATCATGGTTGAACAACACCACAAATAAACCAGAATAAAGACTTATAATGTAGATATCTAGGACAAATGTCAGGGTCTATGACAACTACACTGACAAACACAAAAGTGATTTGTTATATGACAGAAGATTTAAAAACCAAAAAAACTTCACTGTGACAGTTAAAAACATGACATCTCACATGTCATTACTGGTGTTTTGTGGAGTTTCAGGTACATGAACACCAGACATGGAAGACAGGCTTCGTCTGTCTGTCACCAGAGGTAAGACTTGACATTTCAAATAATCAACTTTCATAGACAACATTTATACATGTTATAGTAAAAACATTTAACAAGTGTTGAGGGAGTTAAAAAGGAATCATATATGAATAATAACACAAAAAAGTTCTACTTTTTTCCATTAAGGTTCATCCAGTTTCTATGTGGATCACAAGAATATTACAGGGTTATTACTATTATTATAGGGGTGCATAATAATATTCAATATTTAGTATTTACTGTTATATTCACATAGATTATCATGATGATGTTGTTTATTATATTGCTCTCTTTTTTTGTTTTCTCTTTTTGTTTCTCAACAGGTCATCCAGGTGATTGATATATGTATGTTTTGTCTGTTTGTTTTGTTGGTTTTTTGTTTTTTGCCCTTTATCACTGTTCCTCTTCCCCGCTGTTTTTCTTTCCCTACCTCGTTCTTTCTCCCTTTACTTTCCCCCAGTCATGTCTGTCCCATGTGTAGTAAGTGAAAATAAAATAAACAATAAAAACAAAGGTAAATCAAATAGACCAATACTATTTGGTAAAGTAAATCCGTTGGGCATCTTTCTTTGCCTTTAGCCAATAATTCTGATGGTAAAAGAACTAAACGGGACAGGCAAAAAAAAAAAGAAGAATATTAAGGGGTTTAATGGAGAAAAATCACCATCAAGTTTTACAGTACACAAACTGGAAAAATAAAGTGGTGCAAGTCTGGCAGCAAATGTGTAGCACAGTTGTCTGGATCAATAGAAGAAACAAGTGTGAGCATTAATGAAAGTGACCTCCAGCTGCCAGTGCATTTAACTGTTAATAGTACGCTTACAACCAATTAAGAACAACTATAAATTTAAAATATGTGTTCATGAATATTTCTCATGCACAGTTAATGTTTTGTTATAAAATTAGAACTTGTTATTGTTGCCATTCTCTGCAAATCCTTTGTAGAAAACTCACTCATTCCTGAGTCACTGAATCGCACTGTTTGTTTATTATTTCTTTCTTTATACAGATGAAACACTTACCGGAAATCAGGATGAAAAACCAAGGTCTGAAGGACTGTACTACATATACAACTATGTTTATTTTATGGCTTATAAGGAATCTTTATGCATCATGTAAAAACCTTTGTCGTGGTTTTGAGTTTTTGGGGACTTTTTTTCTATTTTAATTGGTTTGATTGTCCTTGTATTTTGGTTTCATATTCTAGAGTGTCTATATTTGGTCTTTTGTTCCTGGTTTCAGTTTGGTTTACAATATTCCTTTAATCTCTGTGTTTCCATATTTGGCTTAATCTTGTTTCTATTTTTGCTTAGCTTTCTGTCTCTGTGTCAAGTTTGAGTTTCTGTTCCCATTTTGCGTCACTATTTATACTCTGTATCTAGTTTAACTTTGCATGTCTTTGGTGATTAGTCTCAGCTGTGTTCCCACCTGTTTCCCATCCCCTCCTTATCCTGTGTTTGTATTTACTGTCTCATTTTCCCTCTGATCTTCATTGTGTCATCTTTCATGGCCGTGTCCTTCCTGTTCAGAATCAGAAAGGGTTTTATTGCCAAATGTTGAGCAGGTTTACAACATTAGGAAATTGCTGTGGTGCTTAGTGCAAAACATACTGTAAGACAACACTTAAATAAACATAAAATAAGAATTAAAAGTGCTAAGCAGATTAATATATACATGTGTGCAGGTGATGATCGGTGCAAAAATGGAACAGATGCAGAGAACACAGTATAGGGTCATGTGTTTGTGGTGGGAACAGTTATGTGGTTATTGTTCATGAGTCCAACAGCAGAGGGAAAGAAACTGTTCTTATGGCGAGAAGTTCTGGTGCGAATGGACCAGAGCCTCCTGCCTGAGGGGAGAAGGTCAAACAGACTGTGTCCAGGGTGAGAAGGGTCAGCTGTGATCCGAGCTGCATGCCCAGTGTCCTGGAGGTGTACTCTGCAGGACCTGTACTGCAGAGATGGGAGACTGCAGCCACCATCACCTTCTCAGCAGAGTGCACAAAACGCTGCAGTCTCTGTTTGTCCCTGACGATGGCTCCAGCATACCACACGGTCATGGAAAAGGTGAGGATGGACTTGATGATTGCAGTGTAGAATTGCATCATCGTCCGTGTTGGCAGGTTGAATTTCTTCAGCTGCCTCAGGAAGTACATCTTGGTGATGGTGGGCTCCCACTTGAGTTCCTGGGTGATGGTGGCCCAGGAAGCGGAATGAGTCCACAGTGGTGATGAGGGTGTCAGTCAGGATGATGGGGGGAAGTGGGGCTGTGTGCTTCCTGAAGTCCACAGTAATCTCCACTGTCTTCTGGGCGTTCAGCACCAGGTTGTTGTGGCTGCACCAGGACACCCGACATTCAACCTCCCTCCTGTAGGCAGACTCATCCCCGTCTGAGATGAGTCCGATAACGGTGGTGTCATCTGCAAACTTAATTAGCTTGACAGTCTGGTGGGTGGAGGTGCAGCAGTTGGTGTACAAGGAGAAGAGCAGAGGAGAAAGAACACAGCCCTAGGGGGAGCCGGTGCTGATGGTCCGGTAGTCCAAGACATTCTTCCCCAGCCTCACATGCTGGTTCCTGTCTTTCAGGAAGTCAGTGATCCACCGGCAGATGGGATCAGGCACAGTCCTCTGGGAAAGCTTGCCTTGTAGATGGTCTGAAAGGATGGTGTTGAAGGCAGAAGCCCACAAACAGAATCTTGGCGTAGGTTCCAGGGAAGTCCAGATGCTACAGGGCTATGGTGGATGACTTGAAGCAGCCAGGTACATGACATGCCTTCAGTGAGGAGTTGAAAATGCCAGAAAACACTGGGGCCAGCTCATTTGCACAGAGAGTGGCAGTAGACACACCGTCTGGGCCAGGAGCTTACAGAGCATTCAGGCTTTTAAACTGCTTCCTCACATCTGCTTCATAAATATGAAGGGTTGTAGTGGGAGAAGGTGGTGTGAAATTCTCCTTGGTGTGGGGTGAGAAGGGGGGTGTTATGGGTGAAGTCTTTGACGATGGTGATGGCTTTCTTGTGGAGGGAGAGGGGGAAGTGGGGGTAATGAGTGTTCAGGGTGTCTCTATTGTTGGGGCTGATGGAGGTGTGAAGGCTGCTTGATTGCTCATCAACACGGCAGTAAAAGTCGTTGAGGGTGTTGGCCAAAAGCAAGTCATCAGTGGAGTGGGAGGTTTTAGGCTTGTAGTTGGTGATATTCCTAAAACTTTTCCACACAGAGGCCGAGTCATTGTCTGAGATCTGCTGCTGCATCTTCTCAGAGTGCTGATGTTTAGCACTGTCCACTTCTTTACTGAGCCTGTACTATAGCAGTCCCCGGCTCCACTTCTGAACACCTTGTGTTTCCCTAGAAGAGTTATAGATTCAAATTATTTTGTACCTGATCTGTTTTCTTTGTAATTTGTTGTAAAGCTGTTGTTGAGTTTTATAGCCCTTGTTGCTGAGTTGTGCATTTCGGTCCCAACTCCAGCCTGTTACAGTTCACCCTAATAGCTGGGTCTACTCTGTTGTGTATTTTAAGAAATTGTTGGTTTCCAAAAGTAAACTTACAACAATGTATGTCCTGTGACCCTGAATTAGATGTACAGACGGACAATAAAAACAAAGAGGAAACAAAACTGTAATGAATTTCATTTAGTTTGTTGTATTGTTTTATATTCCACTGTGTTTTCCTAGAGGCTATCATCATCCCTGTTATGACATGCTAATTCATTTTGCATTAAGCTTATTATTTTTATCTATTTATTAGTGCTGTCAGCGTTAATCTCGTTATAATGACGTTAACGCCATAACCGCATTAATGTGGCAAATCTCCGTTAGTGAGTTAGCGCGGATCACCGTGTGCATGTGGCTGCAGATTAATGCTGACAGAACTACTATTTATTGATAGGAACCAGAATGTCAAGTTAAAAAATTTCAGAGAATATGTTGTACTTGTACTTTCATAAAATATAACGTCTGTGATTTAGATGATTTATCTTACTACATATGCTTAGAATTCAATACAAAAGAAGTTTAAACTCTGTTTTGATTTCCATTTCACCTCTCTCATGTTTTTTCTTTGCTTCCCAGAGGTCATTTGCAAACTGTGATGAGAATGTGACATACAGCTCTGTGGTTTTGTAATTCAAACACACACACACACAAGCTATGTTTAAAGAACTCCACATGGTTTCTCACACAGCGAAGTGTTGCTCCTTTTACACATTTTCACCACATGAACAGTATAACTCAATGGACAGCAATGTTGGTGTGTTTGCTGTTGGGAAAACTGGTGGGGGCACTGGGAAGCTACGGGCACTGATTTCTGGTGAGTCATTCATCCCCAGTAAGATTTCTGAGTCTACATGAATCAAACTATTGAAATAAAGTGTGTAGAGAAAGGATGGATTAAGGCGCCATTTTGTGTTGGGTTCTGTAATTGCCTGTTTAATGTAAGAGAAATAAGAACGATAATCACTAATTATGACTGAGTGGATTGATGTATCTGTTTCATGTTGTTTGTGGAAGTGGAAAAATGTGTTTATTCTCTATATGAAGGGATGTTATTTCTCCAACTGTTGCTAACTCAGTATTGTAAATATTGCTTTATTATTTGAGTGCCAGATTATTCAACTTCCAGAAGACTTTGAACGCTTAACTATATGGGACTGATGCAGTTCTGAAGCCAGTACTAAAGGCAATAATATTATTTGTTAAGTTACATAATAATGAAGAGAAATCATGGAGAAATGAAAATCACTGCTGAAGCTGCAGATCTTGACCAGCATGAATGTTATATAGTTTTAGAATAATTGAATAATTCAACAATTAAAAATACAATATATGAAATATATATTGTACATGACAGAAAGTTCACACTACAAGGTCAAAACTGTTCAAGGGCTCTCTTGGCTCTTCCTATGCATCTGGAAGTGGCAATCTCCTCCAGAGAGGGCAGAGAGCATCTGATGATCTTCTGTGATGTGTGTATGACCCTCTGCAGTAAGTAATGACACTCTCGATTGTGGCACGGTAGAAGGACACAAGCAGCTTCTGGTTCAGTCTGTTTTTACTGAAGATTTGCAGGAAGTAAAGACACTGTATCATCTTCACTGCCATCACTCGTGTATTCTCCGACTGTGACGGATCATTTGAGATCATTATCAGAAGGAGGCCATCGTCTCTACCCAGTCTCCGTTTATGTAGAGAGGGGTATAATCCTCTGCAGTCTTACAGAAGTCTAAGATGACCTCCTTGGTTTTTGTGGTGTTTAGAAGCAGATTGTTAGCAGCACACCACTCTGTCAGCAGCCACAGCCCCTCTCTGTAACCAGCCTCTTCCCCCTTTGTGATGATGTGTAAGTTCAATAAGGAAGATCTTCAGTTACACATCTGTGTGCTTCCCAAGTACTGGCAGCTAATCTAAGCTTTAGATCATTTCCACTTTCCCATGTCATCAAGCTGGCTGTGACATCACTGGTCTAGTCCAATCATCTTTCTGCTGGCTTTCTTGAGGCCAGTCAGCCTTCACATATACTTCAAATGTCACTGCATATCTGTCATTCTTCCTTGCAGACACCATCATGCAACTAGTACTAGTATAAATACAGCATGAGGAACTAGCAGTAAACCACATAACTGGTTTGTGTGGTTTAAGTCTATTCACTCACAGGCATGGCTGCTCATCTCATCATGTTTCTCCTCTTCATTGTACTTAAAGGTCAGTCATAGAAATAATTTAATTGCCTCGTGTTTCAACAGCAAATGATAAAATTAATGAATAGTTTTTTTATTGGCACTTTCATACTTGCCAATGTTCAAATGTTAGTAGATGTATAATAGAGAAATCACATGAAGGAATAATATTTTAATTAAAGATAACCAGTTTAAGTAAATATAATCATTAAAGTACTTTATTTGTTCTTGTTGCAGGAGATCACAGCTTAACTACAGTCAGTCAAGTATCAGTGAAAGCTGGAGAATCTATCTCCATCCCATGTCTTTATGACTCCCAGTACGAAAATTATCTTAAATATCTGTGTAAAGGATACTATTATCGAGAATGCACATATGCAGTAAAAACAAACCAGCCAGGCCAGTCAGGAAAATATTCAATCTCTGATGACAAAAAACAAAGAATCTTCACTGTGACTATTAAAAAATTAAACGCAGATCAGGACAGTCATTACTGGTGTGCTGTGGAGATTCCTGGGATATGGAAAGATGTGAAAGTCTATTTTCATCTGTCTGTCACCAGGGGTAAGAATCCATAAGTACATTCAAGTACATTTCAAATAAGCCAAAATATTAGGAAAGACTTGGTTGTAATATTAGAATCATTATGTGAGTCATGATAAACATGTTTTTAAAAAATGCTCAAGAAGCTATAAATGTAAAGTAGAAGACTAGTAACAACTTACTACTTGTTCTCCATCAAGGTCCACCCAGTTTCTATGTGGATCATCAGGATATTACAGGTTTTAATGGAGGAAACATCACCATCAAGTTTTACAGTACACAAACTGGGAAAATAAAGTGGTGCAAGTTGGGCAGCGAGTGTGTAACACAGCCAACTGGATCAATAGATGGAACAAGAGTGAGCATTAATGAAAGTGCCCACAATGTTTTCACTGTCACCATGAGTCGAGTGACCACAAAGAGCAGCGGATGGTACTTATGTTATAAAGGAGACCTCCAGGTGCCAGTGCATTTAACTGTGAATGAAACTTTCACACCCAGTAAGTACAACAACTCTGAACCTGAAATATGTTTGTATGAATATTCCACATGCATCATGATTAGCAATGCTTTGATGTGATATTAGAAAATATTATTCAGTTTGTTCTTGCTCGTAGCCTCAGTCATTCCTCACTGAATCTCACAGGTTTTTTTGTTTATTGATTCATTGTCTTTCCCAGATAAAACAAGTACTAAAGATCAGGATGAGCAATCAAGGTCAAAAGGACTGCACTGACATGCACTAGCTATACAACTGTGGTTACACGCTATGTATTTATTGCCATTATGTGAAAACTTTGACCTATGGAAATGATAATTGTTTGTTTTTATTCCACAGTGGTTCCCTAACAGTTCTCATCATCTCTTTGACTTTGTTGATCTTCTTTGTAACAGTGAGCTTGGTCATTTGGTTTTTGCTCAAAGGATCCAGTAAGTTTGCGCTCACCGTTGATGAAACCAGTTCGTTCTTCTTACATAATTTAACGTTAAATGTTGACGACACTGCAGTCGCGCTTTGAGAGTAAGTTCTTGTTTCTCTTTCAGAATGGACCAAAAGAGAATCATCAGGGACGGCACTGGTATGTGATGCTAATTCATTATGAATTCATTTTTTTCTAATTAATTTTTCATTATTTAAGAACAAGAATAATCTGGTAAGAAAAACCAAGTACTCTTTGTAGATGCAGTAGTGCAATACAGCTGCAGCACATGAATAAATGGTAATCATATCATGTAAATAACTTCCTTAATAATGGATATCTGTTGCATTACGGTTTCTCTTTTGGACACAGGCTCACGGGGAAGTGTATACGTCTGTTACACATAGAAAACAAATTTGGTTCCCTAGTTACAAAAAATGAACACTTACAGAGTGAGGAGAATCCCATTTACAGCAGCAGATGCAGAAGTGAAACATAAATGTGACAAACATAGAGGAAAGGACTATATCCAATCCTGCTGCAATAAAGATCTGTGGTTAACGGTTGTTACTGGCACTGTAAAGCGAAGTGGGAAATCATATTTTTCATGTGTTTCACACCAGCTAGAGTATGGAGTGTAAATTTAAAAATAACATTACACTTTACTGTTGCTCTGCTTCCATGTGTGATATACTTACTAATAACATTAAAGAAACTTGTATGTTCTGTTTGGAGATTTTGTCCAATAATTATTAAAGATCATAGGACTGATAAATATTCACAGATGTTGCCCCTTGAAAAAGGATATACAAAGAAAACACATCTAATAGCTGTATTGGGTAAAACACATTTTATATTCCATTTTTTAAAAGAATACATATCTTCCATCAAATTTATGTATATTTAATATTTGAATGTGATAGGAAGTCTTAAAGTGCTAATAAACTTTAAGGAGAAAACATCTTATCTCATACTCTAACTTCTTAGTCCACATATTCCCCTTGAATGGGAACTATTCATGTGAAGTGTCTCAACCTTAGTAAATTGCCACATTTGGTCTAGTGCACACTGTTAAAAAAAAAGTTCCTCTTTAAAATGTTATATTGATATCAGTTATCAGAGGGACTAAGATACAGTGAACAGTAAGAAAAGTTCAGAAGTGACAGCCATAAACATTCACAAACATAATGTTACACGCAAGTAATTTATTTTACTACACGTGCTTGTAATTGGATAAAAAAAGGTTTAAAGTCTGTTTTGATCTGTTTCATATCTGTCTCTTCTTTCTTTCTCAGAGTTTCACTGCTAAATGCGATGTGGATGTGACATACAGCTCTGTGTTTACTATGACTCAACAAACCACACAAAGGGTGCGTTATAAGAGCTCCGTATCACAATGTTTCTCAGACATTAAAACTTATGTTCTTTTTTTACATCGTCACCACACAAACAGCATGGCTCAGTCTTAGTGTGTCTGGTGGCTAGACCACTGCTTTAATTCAGACCAAATACTGTAAATATTAGCAACACGTTCAACTCTAAATCTTCAGTGCTATATCAGTAGCACTACTGTGAAAAGGATCAAAGCTTAAAGAATGCAGACACTCGCTTGTTTATCAGTTGCACTAAAAGTCATTCATAAGCAAGTGTTATTGTTCTGTTTGTTTAGACTGAAATATTAAATAGTTAGATGACTGAATACTTTTCTCTGTAGCCTAAAAGGTAATAATTCCTCTTTTCATCTAGATCAGATTAAACCTTTTTAGTAATTTGTGATCAGGGCTGGCAAAAGCATTTGCATTGCCATCAGCTGTTTAGTGTTAACAAATGCTGGCATGTATGAATGCTGAATTTAGATGGTAAATAAAGTGACCATAACATATAAACACTGTATAGTTCTCTCTTTAGCTTAAGCATCACATGCTTACTTAAGCATGCATTCCAAGAGCTGATGTTGCAGTATCCTCTGGTCTAGCTCATCTTTACTCATTCTGCCTAACTCTCATCTTTGCTTCTGTTCTCCCACAGACTGAAAGAGGCGCAGAAGATGTTACATACAGCACTTTGGCTGACTACCAAGCTCAAGGCACCTAATTATTGGATGGTTTAAAATGAGTTATAATAATTTGTCAGTTTGTGCTTTGTTTGCTAACTACAGCCCAGTTGACGTGTTTCAGGCATCAGATTTTTTTTTTTTTTTACCATATTTCTCAGTTCAGGTCACATTCCCTGATCAGAGACTAATAACTAGGTAACTACAGAACAAACGTCTGTGCAAACATGCAGGAAACCAGTTATTTATTCTACTCGGGATGATCTGTGCTTCCCTCACACTGAGGCATGCAGCAGCGCTTGTATGAAAATAATAATAATAAATTTGCCCAGAGGCAAGTCAAATATCTGGGTTATCTCAAAATTTCAAGTCACTGGCTCAAACTTCTGAGCAAGCCAAATTTTTGAGACAGCCTGGAAATGTAACTTATGGATAACATTTTTTTTTACTGGTGGAAACAAGCTTCTATAGGAATTGGACACAAAAACTGAGATTTTAAAAGCTCAATAGTAACTCAGTGGTTAGTAGCCATACTCAGGAAATTATTTTTTTTTAAAAATCTATGTATTTCTCTTTTGTATCTGACACAGCACTTACCAACCATTTACTAGTGCTATTGTAATCATAGATAGGCTGAATTAGTGATATATATGTCATATATATTTTTATATATTATATACAAGTGCTTTTCAGCTTTTTATTTTTTGTACAGTATAGGTCAATTGATTTTTTCTTTACTTTTAAGTGATACTGTTACAATCTAAAAATAAAATATATTTCATTTCCCATAATTTGTTTGTTTTAGATGTAGTCCATAATATTAGGACGATACAATTGCATGTTAATTATTGTCATCATTACAGTATGTCATCAGCATTCATTAACTTCTGTGTTCATTGTAGCTTCATCTTTATTGTATTACAAAATGTGCCAATTTTTAAGTAAAACAACCTTCATGCCACATAGTGATTCTGGCTTTTGTTTGATTTCCATCCACCCTTCTTCTACTGCCCCTATGGGGTTTTTTTTTTCCAGTAAAAAGACCAGAACAGCTCTCCTGGGACACATCCAGGAAGCATCTTTTCACACAGAGGAGCTGAGCCTTTTACAAATTGCACAACTCCTCACCCCATCTCAAAGTGTGAGCCCCACTACATGCAACAAGACAAGAGAAAACTACAGGACTCAGAAACTATTTACAGCTTTGGAAGGTGGAACAAGGAGGATAAACACAACATTAGGCAACTGGTTTATTTTGGTGGCTAAACAGTCAATACTATTCACAAAAATCTGCATACACCCTTTCAATGTGGCAGAACAGAAAAATTACACTATTATGGTGGGCAGACATGAACTGCTTCACCCATGAGTATCCAATTCAGTTCCTGAGTTATGGAGTTGAAAAGTAGCAAGAAAAAGGGCGTGATGTCAGAACTTCCTCAGAAAATTCTCCTGTGTGAAAACAGTCACTGAAAATGTGAGCAAGCATTAAAACTAACACATTTTAACTAATGCTTCAAAACACAATCTCCATTCCTTCAAAATTCTCACTATGAAAATCTGTTTTGTTTTTTTTTACTTTAGACATCTACAGGATAAAATAACACCGGGGGGGGGGGGATACCTGAAACCAAGTTACACAATGTTTATCCCGTCTCAGCACAGGACACGTTTCAATCATAAATCAGTGTAGAAGTGTTTTAAAAAAAAAAAAAAAAAAAAAAAAAAAAAAGGACAGAAAATGAGTGACTATAACGATTATTGGGTAATTTGTTTATGTTGGACAAACATTTGGAAATGCATTAATCCACCAGCTACACACATATATATATATTTCTTCAAGTCTGTACATTAAAAGTAAATACAAAAAAAAAAAAAAAAAAAAAAGGAGAAATAAAACCTGTTTCAAGCTGGAACAGCTTAAAATGAGTGTGAGTATGCTTGTACCATCACACTCATTTGTTACTGGCTGCTGGTTCTCCACAAAAAAAAAAAATTTAAAAAAAAAAAAAAAAAAAACCAAAAAATTTAAAAAAAATGGCATCTCATCCGATTGTAAAATAGTTTCAATTTTTGCAGCTACTGCATCAGGGGACGTTCAGTCAGAGTCGCACTCAAGCTGTTCTCTGTGTTTCATCTCCAAAAACTTTGCCATGTGCTCCAGTCGTGACGAACCTCGGTATATCCACTCCTTATGTTCACTCTCCTATGAGAAAAAGACTTAATTAATAAAGCAACTAAGTAAGTAATTAAAGGAAAAGAACCAGCAGCTGCTCATGCTACACATCAGATCCTAGTAGATGCAACTATGCTATCAATTTCAAAATCCTACTTCGCCTTATTTTCAAGTCATCTAATTCATGTGATTTTCTGAAAACTTCACCTCCGCCCTTTAGCTAGTGGTCACTAAGATTCTTATTTGTCACTTATTTTTAGCAGATGCACCTATGGCATCAATTTTAAGTTTCTATGTATATAAGAAATTGAAATAGCAATACAAGTATAGCCTACGGCAGTGATGAATTCTTTTATTTCTGCCTTAAAAAAAGCATATTGATGCAGATGTTTGTAAGAATGTGCCAACCATCTACAAGCAGATGCCACAAATATCAAATATTTTTCCACTAAGACACTAACTATTTTCAACAAATTCTCTTAAACTTGAACTTTTGCTTTGAAAGAGAACACGGACCCAGTTTTTCCCATGTTTGAATAGTTGGACAGTGTTTGCATCTTCCATGCAAACTACTGGCGACTACAGCATCTTTGCAAATCCAAGGATAGGGTGACCAATTTCATCTAGCAACCTCCAGAAACCACTCACCAACCAGCTGCAGAATACACATCTCTCTTTAGCGAATCAAAGAACAGTTTCTAAGCCTGCAAGATCAGAGTTAAAGCAATCGATTTCACAGCCTGCCAGCAACCATCTGCCAACTGGTTGGGGAATACATGCTTTTTCCTAGCGATCAGCGGTTGCTAAATCATCGACCGATCTCTAGGCCTGTGTGACTGGAGCCACTCAGTCTCCATAAAGCAGTGTCAGTGTCTCAACTTTATCTATTATATCTCGTATAAAACTTAAAATTTACCTTAAAAAAAATTACCTGTGAATGCTTTGTGTTAGTATTTAGATTCATAAATGTTATAAAATTCAGCTGAAAATCAAATATAAAATTTTTTAAACTAAAAGATAAATGAAATACTGACCTGAAAGATAACCTGCATTAAGCTGCAGTCAATAATCTGCACTTCACACTTTTGCAGGACTCCGTTCAATTCAGCATTAAGGGTCTGTCCAAGCCTGTACTGGGTTAACTGAGGGTACGGCCACTTATTCAGGTAATGTTCTATGAAGTCTTTGTGAGGGCCCTCTGGAATGTCATCTGCAATGTTTTCCACTTTGAAACAAAATTAAAAAGAAGAAAGAAAAAGTTGGTTACTCGTTTTATGTGTCTAAGAGCTGTACAGTCAGTAAATAAAAACACTTGACAGGATTTCTGAGTATATGAATATGAACCCCCCCAAAGTATAAAAACAATTCAACTTACAAGGTTTCCAAACCAAATGAATTAAAGGTAACCCAAAATAGACCGGCGTGTGATCATCCAAAAAGATCAAGAACCTGGAATTGTAAAATGTGTTAGCATCAAGTCAAACTTCCAGCGTTAGCAGTTCCTAACAGAAAATCTTGGCTAAACAGTCAAATCTGATTGCACAGCACGCTATAAATTCATTGGGTTAACCATGGCCAAAAGGGTACACAAGTTTTCTAGCAATTTTAATCATAAAATTAAAATAAACACCTTAGGCGGTTCTTTCTGCTGCGGAGCTCGCCTACGACACCAGGCTGGAACCGGTACTTGTTATCTTGACACTGAATCACCACACGGGCACCAACATACAGCTGCTCCACCTTTGCTGTGGTGTCAAAAGCAACGTGGTGTCCAGATACTAGACTCTTCCCTTTTTCTTCAAAACTGACTTTGTATTTTAACCGTCCGTCTTCTGCAAAAAGAGGGGAAAAAAAGAGACCAATTTTCACTTCAGTTTTATCAATTTATTTTCTCTCTCTTAAAAAAATATTTTCAGAAAAGCAAAACTTTGAAATTTCTTTCTGCACTCAGCTCACTGTGCCTACCTTGCTTCACCTGGCATCTAATCTCATCATGTCACATGTTTTTAAAATCAGTCAAATGACAGCAAATGCACTTTACTTTTCCTATTTAAGGACAGGCAAACAAATTTCAGGTGCACTGCTTCTGGGCGATAGAACGATAACGATATGTATCGCGATATAACTTTTACTCGATAGAGAAATTAAGCTATCGCGATAGACCTCGCCGCTCTTGTCCTCTTAAAAAAATAAAAAATAAAATAAAGGTCAGCCAATCCAAATTCAGTAGCGCAGAGCCGAACCAATCACAGCCGCAGCGTCACGTCGCGTGACTTGTTACGTACAGCACAAGTGCCAAGCCGCACGTGTGTTTGTTTGGGAAGCAGCCAGCGGGTAATGGAGCCAGCGCGTAATGGAGGAAATGAGTGTGCCGACTAGAAAAATCAACCGAGCGTGACCGAAGAGAAAACAGATGATGGTTCCAATGCCGGAGAGATTGTCGAACGGAAGAGCCATAGAAGTTCCGTAGTGTGAAGGTATTTCGGCTATTTCAAGTCTGACAAAAAACAGTGCGTAAATTGTGCCGAAAGCAAGTCTGGAAATACAATAAACTGGTGCATGCGTCACACTGTGCGCCACGTTATTGTTTCAGTGAAATGAATTTCTACAATACTGTTACTGTTAGTTCTACTCTCTGCAGTGTTTAAATGCTTACATATACACACAGTTACTGTCCCTCCACACATAAGACTCGGTTCTGCTTCTATGCCCCAGCTTTGTTTACTTTTTCCCACCGAGGCTTCTAGACTTCTGATTGGCCAACATTTCTGCACGGTTAGGAATCTAGCGCCACCTGCTGCTTTGGCATGTTCATAGCAGCGTTTTCCTTCATTTCTCCCTTTATGTGTGGACGGGATTATTTTTTAAAACGAAAACGGAAAATCTCCGTTTTCAAAAATACCCGTGTACGTGTGGACGTAGCCTCAGTCTCTGACTGGAAGCGCTAATTCATCATTCGGCTTTTGTCAGACTAAAGTAAATGTTAAAACTGTTTGAAAAGCTAAGCTATACAACAAGGAGAGATTGAGAATTTCCTTTTAGTTCTCAGTTTATTTGATATTGACAAAAGTTAGTCAGTTTTGTCTGTTCTTCTGTAAAACAAACTAAGATTTATTTTTAGAATTAATACTTTGTTTCTAAGTGGAATTGACAATTTAGTCTGTTTTGTTTGTTCTATTTTGAAACTTAAACGCTTTAGCGGCTGCCTTTTGTGTAGTTTGCAATATTTGCCTTTATTTATCTGAAAAAGTCTCATGTTCCTTAAGTACATCTACCCTGTTGAACTTATTATGGGAAATAAATATTTAAAAACAAGCTGCTGATTATTTCACATTTTACTTGTGAGCAACGGCACATTTAAATCTTACAAATAGTTATTTGGCTTATATCGTGATAGATATCGTTATCGCCTGAAATGAAAAAAAACATATCGTGATATGAAAAAATCTCATATCGCCCAGCTCTACTTACATATACCCAGCCACCAGAAAAACAAAATATACAAAAGTTGTCTTTTCCAAACTCATTCACTGCCATTAATGTGCAGTGTTGTTCTTATGTCTAAGGAAAATGACGCTGTGACAAGGAAAAAAAAAAAGCTTTCAATTTCTACTGAGCATAAGATGAATCGCATTTTTGCTGGTCCTAGAGTAAAAACCTCAAAAGCATTCACAAAAACAGAGGAGAGAGAAAAGAACAAAACACATCAGAAGATATTTCAAATCTCTAGATCATCTGAAACTAAATACAATTAACAGTTATCAATTACTTTCAGCCTTTTCTAATGCAGGATTTTGAATCAACTTTTTTCAATGCATGAATTCTTTCAAACATTACTGTAATATCTGGCAGAATTTTCTCTTACCCCTTGTAACTATCTCGACTATTTTCCCCTGTTGCCACCTCATAGGTCTTCTCCTAGCCAGAACTACCATGTTCAATTTGAGTTCATCCTTCTGTGCCTCAGGTCGGGCAGTTATTATTTCCTTGGAGGAATGGCCAAACACTGATGATATTATAACAGGAGCCACATCTGCCGCTTTGGGGGGGGGGGGGGGGACACACACAAATGTTTAAAATTCTTTAAACCACTGCTGTTCATCTGTAAAGAGAAGTTACGCTAATTTTATGGCGTCTGTGACCTTACCATTGGTGCTGGTGCTCGGAGGTGAAGCAGGTGGTGGTGTTCTGTCGCTCTCACTGCATTTGTTAATTCTTGCAGGTTTCCGTGTATTGTTGGAGGGTGAAAAATCTGAATCACTGGAATCAACTTCTGGCTCCCACTGCATATCAGAATCAGAGCTGCTGAGAGACTCATCTTCACTGTAGAACTGCTGAGGCGTTGGTGGTCGCAGAGACCTCACCTTATATTCAGGAAGTCTAGTCAACACTACCACTGGCTTTTTAAATGGTCTGGGACAGTCCAAGCCGTTTTGGCATAGTTTCCTCTTTCTGGCAGTTTCATTTACACAGCAAACTGAGTCATTTGGAGACTCAAAAATATGTTCTGCAAAGAAAAACACAAGTGTAAAATGTGATGTGCAATTAAGACAAAAATAAAAATACAAAAGCAAAACTAAACTAAAACAAACATTATGTTTATGTTGCAGTCTAATTAGATGTTAAATTAATAAGAAACTTTTGATAACTTATTTTTTAAATACTCATTTTATTGTTCAATAAAAAGCTTAAGATACCATGTGGACATGGATGAGATTTTTGGTCACTAGTACAATACATGGGCCATTTCATCTCCAATCCAGTTACTAAGAATTTCATGTCACAATACATTTTGTGTGTTTTATTTTGCATTACCATTAAATACAACTACATACAATATACACTTTTGATGCCTCTGTCCCAATTTACAGATCCTGATTCGTTTTATGATAAGAGACATTAAAGACAATTTCAGGTGTTTATCTTTAACAGGTTTTTTTTTAGATATTCATATTTAAACATTGTCTCAGACTTTGAAGGGCAAGCAAACATGCTGGATGGAAGTCGAAAGAACATTTTTCAGATCTACAGCTTGAAAATTACTTGATATATGAAACTAAAATTTTAAAGCAATGATTTTGTACAGTGATGTGAAAAAGCGTTTGCATCTTTCCTGATTTCCTTTTTTTTTGGGCATGTTCATCATACTACATGCACTACACCTCGCCTCGGTGTAGTTCTTTCCAAATATATTTTAGTATTTTAGCTTGTGACTACATTTGCAAATCGAGAGTTTTGATTTACTCTCATGGGACTGGTGAGGGACCAGACAAAGAGAGAGTCAAAAGACCCTTATGAGTGAATAATCTAGGGAATAGTTCAGGGGAGGTGTGTGCCTGGTGGTCGGGCCTTGACCCATTAGGTCTGGCCGGGAGCAGTCCGAAGCAGGGATAAGTCCAAACTCTGGACTATGAATTTTTTTTGGCAAATGGTCAAGTGGAAGGCTCAAAGTGATATAACAACAACATACTTACTTTCATCCTCACATTCATAATCCAACAGGTTTTCTTCTGTCTTCAAGGACTCCTCACATTCATAATCCAACAGGTTTTCTTCTGTCTTCAAGGACTCCTGAAGTAACAATGTTTTTGTCTCCAACTGATCCACAGTCATAATCATAGCCATGGCCACTATAACAAAAATCAAACATTGGAGCTTTCAGTCATTTATTAAAGCTTCTGTACAAAGATAAGTGTAAGCAGACGAGTTGCTGCCCCAAGGGGAGAAGTTTAAATATTTTGGGGTCTTATTGACAAGTAGGGTAACTTCTGCAGTGTTGCGGATTCTGTATTGGCGTGGTGAAGAGAGAGCACAGCATAGACGCAAAGCTGTCAATTCACTATCTATGACCATACCTTCACCTATGGTCACGAGATGCGAGTAGTGAACTTTGATATCCCCAAAGGTCAGCTGGACTTTCCCTTTGCAAACGACTGAACTCCTCATCCTTTCAACAGGGACAGTAGGGCCACTACTCCTTCGCACCAAAAGGCACCAGTTAAAGTGGTTCAGGCATCTAACCAGTTCCCCTCTGGGCACATCCAACCAGGAAGTGCCCTCGAAGGTAGACCCACAAGCTCCTAATTACATCTCTAGCCTGACCCGGTATTGCCCCAAGTGACCTGAAGGAGGTGGTGTAGTAAATGTGGTCGGTCTGGGCCCAGGACCCAGGACTGAATAAACGACAAAATAAATAGACTATCTGACACAAGAGTTTATTATGAGCACCTTGGGGTTCTCTTGTATGGTTTTCTAGTAACACGAAAAAAAATAACTACGCCACTTTATAAAAGAAAAAAAAAACACACACACACAGCTTAACCGGGGAAAAATACTACACGTACTGTAGAAAATAAAGACATGAATGCAGGAAAAAATGAGTCAGTTAACACGGCCGTTTAATAAAGGCGTTCACGTGTGTTTTGACTTCTTTCTGTTAGCTTTTCTTTAGTACAACAAATGCCGTTAGCTTAACTGTTCCTTTTTACGGCTGAAAGTTAACCTAACGATCACGATTGTTCTTATAACCAAGAACACAGACATACCTGTTGTTGTATCCCGAATATCCACCTCAAAAATCACAAAGGTCTGGTCCTTTTTGTGAGCAGAAGCAATTAAAAGCTAAAAATCGGTCGCTCGAGCTAGCTAACTTCCTTTAGCACTGACAGGCTACGTACAAAAGGAAACAAAGAAACATACCGTTAAACTTCCTTTCAGATTTTGCATCGCAAAAGTATTTAAATTACACAAAACAACTCGCACTACGATTCTTTTTTGCTACTTAGACGTGTACGAAAATAGGAACCATTCCAAAATTTGCTTCCATACTTTGTGGCAACTAGGCCCCAAAACAAGTAGGTTGCCCGCGAGAATGACGCAAGTTTGATTTTACCCAGGCATCCTTGTGGCTGCCTGGGGTCCTGAGCTACGACGTGATAGGTCAGGATTTGGTTGCCGTAAGTCTCCTTCAGCTCGCCCTCCAACCGGTGACGCCTTCCTCGGTTTTGCGTTGTGAGGAATATTTGTAATAAAAGCCACTTTCCTACGCCGCTAGCATCATCTTCCACTGGTAAGAGACTCCTTAATTTAGGCTTACGATGTTATTCTTCTTCACAGCACGGATTAATCAGTTGTGAAGCGCTTGACACACCGGCACTCTCCAGGCTAGCAAAGTTAGCTGCTAGCTTTAGCTGCGCCTGACACATGTCGCGTGGAATACTGGCCAGTTTTGCTGTTATGCGCTTAATGCTGCTAAAATGTAAGATGTGTGGCTTAAAAGCACTTTAGGAAAACATTCACAACTTTAACATTAGCTATGCTTTGGTTATCCACTACGTAGAATGGTTGGTTATCCATGCTACTAGAGGACTCCTTGAGCGAACGATCATTTTAAGTAACACCTCTCCCTAATAGGAGCAGGCATGTACCTCGCCACGCCTAGCTGTGACTGTCAGTTAATGCGGAGGCGTAGTTTAATTAGAGCCAGGCCCGCTGCCTCTTATCAGCCAGATAGGCTGCTTTCACCATAGAGTTGTAGACTGTATTCTGACGAGTACAGTAGTACAAGTTTGACTTTGCTGCAGTGTACATTGCTCATCAGGTCATCAGCGGGATGGTGAAATGGTTATAACTCCTCAATGCAAGGCTTAGTTTTCATTACAGATGTCAAAACTTTAGAAAGAGTAGATTATTATGCTGAAGATGTCCTCCAGACTCTGACAGTATTTCACACTTCGATGGGATAAAATGTGAAAGCAACGTCTACCTATTATATTCATGTGCAGTTTCCATTCACATCATGAACAGACACAAGTACAGCTACCCACTGTGACCACTTGTGAAAAAGCAAGCAGAAAGGAGCTTCTTTTATTAAAAATTAAGATAATTGTACCACAGTATGTTAATTCTGTTCACAGATACAATGGCTGTGCCTCCTTCATATGCTGACCTGGGCAAGTCTGCCAAGGACATCTTCAACAAAGGCTATGGTATGATTTGATTTTTGAAGGTTTGGCCAATGTGTTAAAATTGTAGGAAAGCTTTAAAATAATTTGAAAAAAAAATCAATGTGTCTTTCCTTAAGGATTTGGCCAGGTGAAGCTTGATGTCAAGACAAAGTCAGCCAGCGGAGTGGTAAGATTTCTTTCGTCATTTTATTTGTGAGGCAAAAACTGCAATAAGAGCGCAGCCTTATGGTAATTTGATGCCAAAGCAATTTGTCCTTATGCTTGTTGTTGGCATTTTTTCTAAAATTGCCTCTTACAGGAATTCAAAACATCTGGTTCCTCCAACACTGATACCAGCAAAGTCGTGGGAAGTCTGGAAACTAAATACAAGCGGTCAGAATATGGCCTGACCTTCACTGAGAAGTGGAATACCGACAACACCTTGGGAACAGAAATCACCGTTGAAGATCAGGTTAGGAATGTATTCGTTTGCTGTTATTTAACAACATGTCACAGAAAAGCATATATATATATACACACACACACTCTAAAGATGACCACACAGCATTCATTAGTGATTTATTATTGTTTCTTACAGATTGCCAAAGGACTAAAGTTGACTTTTGACACAACCTTCTCACCAAACACTGGGTAAGATGAATCAAATGAAAATTTCTGTGATTTCTTATTGAAATCTTAATGAATGAATTTTGTTATGACCATCGTTTCTTTAGACTAGTAATTATAGGAGCCAGATCTTTGCTCCATGTCCTTCTGAGAGTTGTTGTTGCTGGCCATGTGACCTTAATCAGAGTATGGAGGTAGTCTTTTTAAAAAGCCATTACAGAGACTGGCTCTCAGTCATTCCTATTTAGTTATTTTTACTTTACTTTTTACTTAAATGTGCTTTAGCAGTTAGTTGAACTTCATTAGAAGAAATATGTTGGACTTTACTATGCTGCTCATATGGTGAGGCAACAACAAGTAAGCTTTCTTTCTGGAGTATATAAATCACATGAGGAAAGGGAACATGGCCCAGAGGAAGCGTGTCATCTTTCATAGTGAGGGTGGAGTTACGTGGCTACATGGAGATGGCATGTTTACAGCTACAGTGTCATGCTAAAACTAAACACCACTGCTGAGACAAATGGGTTTTTATTATTATACTATGAGAAATGTAACCTCTCAGCTGGACTTGATTTAAAAGTTTTTATTTGAGTTTTAGAAAACTGACTTTTTTTCTCATCAACAGCAAGAAGAGCGGCAAAGTTAAGGCTGCCTACAAGCGTGAGTACGTCAACTTGGGCTGCGATGTTGACTTTGACTTTGCTGGCCCCACCATCCACGGAGCTGCTGTCATTGGATACGAGGGATGGCTCGCTGGTTACCAGATGAGCTTTGACACCGCCAAATCAAAAATGGCGCGCAACAACTTTGCCATTGGCTACAAGACTGGAGACTTCCAACTGCATACCAATGTGTAAGTAGAGATCATGTTTTACTCATTTGGATTTTAATTTTAAAATGTTTTCCCCAAATTTATAATAAATAATTTCAAAATAGTTCCAAAACCGCTGCCTAACTCTGAGAAATTGGAAGCATATGAGTTATAGTCAATTGACACTTTCTTAAGAAATCCCATATTTGGATTCTTGTTGCCTAAAATCTGTGTTATGATCTTTAAAGCAATGACGGTGCTGAGTTTGGTGGCTCCATCTACCAGAAGGTGAGCGACAATCTGGAGACTGCAGTCAACCTGGCATGGACTGCTGGCAGCAACAGCACACGCTTTGGTATTGCAGCCAAATACCAGCTGGACAACGATGCCTCCATCAGTGTAAGTAGTTGAGCACAGGGTTTCAGAATAACGTGGAAAAGGAAAAGTGATTGTCTTACACTGACTCTTAAATACTTTTTTTCCCTCCCCCACCCTTTAGGCTAAAGTGAACAACAATAGTCTTGTTGGTGTTGGGTACACCCAAACCCTTAGACCAGGTGAGTTGCTTTTCTACAGGTTCATCAACTGCTGAAAAGTTAATTAACATCTATTCTTACGACACGTATTAATCTTGTATCCTTTAATCTAACGCTGTTCCACACAGAAGTTTAGACTTGTTGATCTATATATAAATAAATGAACTGACCTAGGGCTGTTCGATATAACGATATATATATCTGATGAGGATCTAAAAACGTCTATCGTTTCATTTTACGCTATCGTTTGTTTCGTGGTGTCGCAAAATAAACAGTTTACGGTAATATTTTTTCATTGTTTTGATGGTCACTGTAGTGGCTATATTAATTTCTTAAAGTTCTCTCTTTCTCTTATATTTAATATAACCACACTACGGACGGACAAGCGCCTGTTTTTATGCGTCGTCGTTAGCAACAACGACGGTAACGCCATCGCGTGTCCGCTTGTTTATGTTCCACATAAACCTTTCACAATAAAGCTCAAGATCCTGTTAAAAGAGAAGTAAAAAGAGCCGCCAGGTGCTAAAAAATAAACCTTAGACTCAAACGTTAGAACAGGCTTTTCCCCGCAGCACACCGTGTAATAAATACTCACAAAGAAAACAGCGGCTGTTACAACTTATGTCTAAAAATGTATAGTTTCATGCATCTGTTAAAACACTCGACTCCAGCTACATGACGCGCAGCTGGAAACACTTCCCACAAGTCGAGCTGCCCGAGATTCACAGAATTTACAGAAAATGTTACATTTTTGTGAATTATATCGTTATCAGGACGATAGAATTCTTATATCGGGATATGAGATTTTGGTCATATCGCACAGCCCTAAACTGACCTATAACAGAGACATTTATAGAAACACTTAACCGCCTACGTTTTTCTCACAAGTATCAGAATGTGATTTAAGCAAGGAATGTTGTAACGGTTAATGTGAGTTCATCTTGTGTGCAGGTGTGAAACTCACCCTTTCTGGTATGGTCGACGGAAAGAACATCAACGCAGGAGGCCACAAGCTGGGTCTTGGCTTGGAATTGGAAGCCTAAGCTTTCCTCATACTGGAAGGACTAGGGAATATCAGAAGAACCTGGCCTTAAATGTCATGTCCAACTCAAGCCAGCAAGGGGATATCTTGGAGAGAATGGTTCAAAGGCTACTGCAACAAACTCTTGAGTACCACTTCAAGTTGGTGCTTCTGTCAGTGGTACATTTTATCTTTTGTTGCTTTTTACTTTGTAGTCACATCTGTTCAAGAGACAGTTCTTGGCATAATATTTATAAATCATGTCATTGTTCCTGTCCAGCACTGCCATAATAATCCGATAAATACAATCACTTTGTCATCAATTCTGTGTGGCTTTATTGTGATAATCCAAGACACTCCTCTTTATTTTTTTTAATGTGTAAACATCAATACATTGATCTTTGGGGAGCATTGTCATACTTGCTCTGAATTCACACTCATGACCATCTGATATTCCTTTGTCATCCAGTTATTTGCAACCTTGTTAAGTACACTAGTACACTACTTTTTTTTTTTTTTTTTTTCTGCTAATATTTAAATGTGGTCGAAACCTACCTGTCGATGCACACAAGGACAAAATAAATCCCTGTGATGTTTTGTTTTGCTTTGTCCATTGCAGTTTTTCATGTTCTGTTAAAGCTGCACATGTTACCTTCCCTAAAACTTGATAGTTTGGGGGGTTGCTTAAAGTTGGAACTGCAAGTTTGAAAGACACCTGTGTACAAGGCCAAACAAACGGGAACAAGCTTTTGTTTCTGTACTAACAGATCTGGGAGACGCATCATTGATGTTCTTAGTAATGCCAAACTGTCAATCTCTAGAACAAGAGTTCTCACTTGAAGTTGCACGTGTACACCCTCAAAAGTGCTTCCCTACTCAGAGCAAAGAGCCCACTGGAAGGTCCTTCTGTGTGTGTATTAATTTTCAATAAAGTCTTTGAACTCC